TGCATCTGTTCAGCTTTCTTCCAACGGTTTAGTAACAGTGATCCTATCAGGTGCAGAGCTTAATAGTTATAATATAGGTTAGGTGATGGTCCTACCTAGCTTTCTCTTTGTCTTGTATCCATAGTAAATCAGAGCATGACAAAGAACATCCGTTCTGTGGGCTGGCCGCATTTCCTTTGTCATGCGAGAGAAACGGCGTAAAAAGGACCAAAGACGTTCCATTACTTCACCATCTGAGAGCCCTAAACCATCACAGCGCAATGGACTGAAGATTATCTGCAATGATAAAAATCCTTGTTGCAAGAAGTGACCTACAAACTATACAAACCTGACACTGTGGTTTGTGACCATAAGCATGGAAAATTGGTAAGCAAAGCTGCACTTTCTTCAATAAAACATTATTTCCTTCATATTTCTGTACAATGCAATTGACAATTACATAAAAGCTGCATGTTTCACGCTTGCATCATATATACCTGCATATACTTGTTTAGAGTGCAAGCTATATCATACATCACATGTAGCTTTATTTCAGCTGGATATGATTGAACCATTTCTTGCAAAAGCCATTCAGCATAGCTTATCCTGTCAACAAACAAGCACATATCAGTGGTAATAAGCAGTCTCATTTAGTTACCTTTCTCCATGTTTCAAATTGATGAACATAAGTGGAAATTCATGCCTACAAGCACAACCAAACAAAGCTGTCTCATCAAGGGCTTTGTAACGATTTGATGATCGTAGCACATCACCAGCTAAGAAGTCACTGCACACCTGATTGCAGTAAAGATGCTGGCCAACATACAACAAAGCATTTTAAATAAAACCTTATCACAAGCATTTCTTCGAGAAGAACTAGCAACATGCTCATCAACTGAAGGTTGATCTTTGAAGAATATGTGGCCATGAAGTGGATCTCTATGACTCTGTCCGGCAGACTTTTTTCGTGGAAGTCCAAATAGAGCATCCATAGAAATCATGACGCTTCCTCTCTCCTGGAGATGAAGATGAAATGCAAAAAAAAACACAACCATGAGCTTGAATTATGCATGCAAGTCTTATACCTTAGGGCACGCAGGACAAATATTTCCATTATCAAATTCGTCACTGATGTACGAGAGATTACGGACCTCTACTTTCATATACCTGCAATGATACTGTGTTATACATTGGTTCGACACCAAACTAACCATATTTTACCTAAATTCTTCAAAGGCATTTATCATAGCTGCATAAATCTCTTTCCTCTAAAAAGCAAACGTGGTTATATAAATCTTCTAGTGATAGTGTGTGTTGAGATACCTTATTGTAGTTAATGAGGGGACTTAAAGTGGAGGGCTTTGCAGAAATCCCAAGAGCCACTTTGGCATTCCAACAGAAGATGCTTCGGCCCCTCGACACACTACGAATGTTGAAGGCTATTTTGGGAGACGAGAGGCTTGCCGGCCAGAGTCGAGCTCTAACCATGTGTAGGCAAGCAGTTGGTTCACAATCGCAGCAAGAAAACATTATAGAATGTTGTGTGCCTGTGATATACAGCCATATTTAATTAGATGTGCAGAAAACATAAAAACATACCTTGGGAGTCATGCAACATAGAGGAATCTCTTTCTTAGTAGGGCCACTCATGGTCAACACATTAACATTTCTGTTTTCGATGATTAAGGGTTTATACATCCTTCCTAGAAAAAGATATGCATTGTATAACAGGCATACATCGTACAGAGGGAGGGGTCCCGGGGGGACGGCCCCCAAAGGGGGGCATGACAACACTCCGACCACTCCCGTGGGACTGGACTGCAGAGAAAGAGGCTCCTGACCTCACTGTCTCCTTGTCCTTGAGAGGTCTTTGAGGCAGGAGTAGCCATGCACACAAACACTAGATAATAACTAATACGTTACAGTTTGGCTCAATAAAAGACCAGTAAATTGTAGATGAATAAACTACTTGTAGAAACCTCAACCCAGGACCAAATGCGGGAACCTAAAATAGAGGCCCACAGACTCACTGGGGAACCTAGAACCCAGGTCCACTAAATCCACTGGGGAACCTAGAACCCAGGTCTACTAACTCCACTGGGGAACCTAGAACCCAGGTCTACTAACTCCACTGGGGAACCTAGAACCCAGGTCTGCTAATCCACTGGGGAACTGAGAACCCAGGTCCACTAAATCCACTGGGGAACCTAGAACCCAGGTCTACTAACTCCACTGGGGAACCTAGAACCCAGGTCTACTAACTCCACTGGGGAACCTAGAACCCAGGTCTGCTAATCCACTGGGGAACTGAGAACCCAGGTCCACTAAATCCACTGGGGAACCTAGAACCCAGGTCTACTAACTCCACTGGGGAACCTAGAACCCAGGTCTGCTAATCCACTGGGGAACCTAGAACCCAGGTCTGCTAATCCACTGGGGAACTGAGAACCCAGGTCTGCTAATCACTGGGGAACCTAGAACCCAGGTCCGCTAATCCACTGGGGAACTGAGAACCCAGGTCTGCTAATCCACTGGGGAACTGAGAACCCAGGTCTGCTAATCCACTGGGGAACCTAGAACCCAGGTCTGCTAATCCACTGGGGAACCTAGAACCCAGGTCTGCTAATCCACTGGGGAACTGAGAACCCAGGTCCGCTAATCCACTGGGGAACCTAGAACCCAGGTCTGCTAATCCACTGGGGAACTGAGAACCCAGGTCTGCTAATCACTGGGGAACCTAGAACCCAGGTCCGCTAATCCACTGGGGAACCTAGAACCCAGGCCCACATGTTAACTGAATCCATGCAAGAATAGTGATTGCATATTTCTTACATCCCACACTTCAGGTGTGTGATAAATATTGGCTGTAGAGTGGCTCCCTTCAAAGCATTTGATACAATAGTAGATCGCTGCTCCACACTGCACACACCTACACGCTGCTGCTTCAGAACACATGCAGCATTTCTTCCCCAATGGCATTGCAAACGACTCAGTGATGGCACGCAGAAGTTCGGAACGTATGTTCTTCCAGCTCGTCGCATTTGCAGCTTCATTTATCTCGTGTAGAGTGGGAGATGGTTCCCGCACAACATCGTGATCATGATACACATCAGAGAAAACGACAGCATGATCTTCATCACGAACTTCATCATGACGCATTTCACTGCCGGAAGGAGCCTCACTCGCTTCTTCCTCTGCAGAAATAGCCACACCACCTCCACCTCGCCTGCCTCTAGGGACTATTATCTTAGTAGCAGGGCTACTCGTACTTCTCTGGGTGACTTTTAATCTTGGCAATCGAACTTTCATTCGCCATGCCATCGCAGAATCTTTTAGCAGGCACGCGATAGGTACAAAAGGGTTATAGCGAAAACCACGGCCCAGTGGCCACGCGCGCAAAGTTCAATGATTTACCCACTTCCGACTGGAAGAAGGTTTCAGGATCGGGTGACACATCCCACTTTTTGCGATCTGCACTGGAGATCTGGGGCGAATGGCAGCTCTGCGGAACGCATTCGTGTCTCCTCCGATCGGTACAGAGAGGAAGATGGCTGGATTGCGCCTCCTGCAGCCGAGTATTCAGGCTGATCCCGCCTCCATGCGAGCCGAAGAGCTCTCCGGGTTATCTGGACTGATGGCGGATCACGGAGAAGAGGAGGAAGAGAGACTCACGGACGAGGAGTACGAGATCGTGCAGCGAGACGAGGCCAGGGACATCCCGAGCGAGTTTCTCCACAGCTACGGTACGATGAGTCCTGGCTCTAGAAGAAGGCGACGTCGGAAGAGGAAAAATTCGTGGAGACGGCGCTCCGGATCCTACTCACCTCTCGTCCCTTCTCCTCGGTCTCGCCACTACCACCACCACCAGCAGCAGCCTTACTTCTCTCTCTCGCCGCAAGCCCTCAGAGAAGGCGAGGGACGTGAGCTGGAGCCCCGCGTGCAGCGGCCGTGGGGTAGCACCTCTGCTGTTTCGCAGGTCAGCTAGAATGCAAAACACAAAATTCCTGTGGAGTATCTCTGGATGAGGATGACAGAACACACACAAAAAGTTTCTTACTTTTTAGCAAGCGAACAGGCCAGCTTACCATCGCTGAATACTTTTGGTACACTCAGGTTTGGACGATCTATTAACTCGAGCAAGTGGAGGAAAGTGCAAACCAACCTTGACTGGAGAATACAGCATGTATATATAGTTATGGTGGTCTAAAGTTTTCTAGCAGGTGTGGACTATCCGTCCAGCATGTCTCAACAACTAGGTAACGAGGTAGAAAGGCAAGGCAAACAAGTCAACTACAGGACAGCTAGAAAAGATCGATGCAAAACAAACCACAAGTACATATATATATATCCAATAAATGTGAGGTCATGGGAAAAGACTGTGATAAATGGTAGTAGTGTGAATTGATGAGGTAACCTTAGCTGAGTCGGCACATCCTCAATTCATGAATCCCAGGATTCATTGTTAGCCCATAGATTCGTTGCCATGGAGTGTAGTCAGGAATGCTGTTACTTGATGATGATGTCACACACTCCCTCCCTCTAGAATGCAGACTACGACAAGTTGATTACTCACCACCACCACTTCGCCATGACGACCGACCACGACCACGACAACGAGGATTCCTATAGCAACGACACCTCGAGCGAGGAGGACGAGCCCCCAATTATGGAGCTAATTTACCGTCGGACGTGCAAAGACAAAGTGAAACTAATAGTTTTCCCTCTCCTATATTTCATGTTCTTCGCCATCGCTGGAGTGTTTGCGTTCTACTCCATCGAGGCTCTTATTGTGTCTTACAATCATCGCGTTCGAACGGCCAGTTACATCACTGTTGAGGAGTATGCCCCTATTGGAATTGCTCTATTCCCTCAGGTGTGTGTGTGAGAGAGAGAGGAGAGAAACTAGATAGAGGGACGAGAAGGGATGAATGGAGAAGAGTACGACAGAGGTGGCATGGGATGAAACCTGTTCTTGCCATGTCACCCACACAGATCCTCTAAACTTCGTTTTACGCCATACAAATACACTATGTCTCTGGATAAAGAATATTTCACTGTATGTTGTGTGTTGTGTGTCGTCAGGATTTTGCTACCTATGAAAACTGTCAGTTCAAGTACGGCGACGACCTTTCACCTCACGGGGGTAACTGGACACCTCTCACTCCAGTAGACGTTCTGGACAACTGCAGTACATTCATCAACGTCACTTTCACCTCCTCACTTGTCAATGAGAACAGAACTGCCATGGTCTTCAGGTAGAGCATCTTATGTATGCACACTCAAGTTTTTGTTCTTGGTGTTGATAAAGTGGCTGTTTTCCTCTCGATGTTTTGCAAATCGCAACACTTATACGCTGTGTAGTTTTTTGTTGGTATGTGTGTTTGAGTATGTTTCGATCACTTGGTCCACTCCACTCTATATATATACCAAAGTTTGCTGGGAAATTGAAAATGAAATAGCTTATCTTCCAAGTGCACAGCGTGTGCCTCCACTCACCTTGTAAGGGTGTATGTGACTGGTATGTAATTGAAAGTGAATAACATTTTCTTACTCACACACCACCATTTCTTCTTGTCCTCAGGGGTCCGACGAGGGTGAACCTCAAACAGAGTCTGTGGCTCAATTTCTCCATCGACACGACAAAGAGAGAGTTTGGAGCCATGGAGTTCCTCATCTTCAGCGACTGGAGAGATCTGGATGCCATGACAGCTGCCGAGAGAGCCAACTACCTGGCTCAGGAAGAGGCCAAGCAGCCTCTCTATACCCTCCCTGCCGGCTTCAGGTCAGTGGGTAGAGGGTTAAATCAGTGTCAGTGGGAACAGTGCAAGTGGGAAGAGAGTTAATTATAATAATGGTGGGCCATGCTAATGATTTCACTTCTCCTCAGATCTTGGGTGAAGATCTACAAGATCATGCGTCGTGACGGAGCCGCCAAAACAAACCTATCAGACTTCTATCTCATCACTGATTTCAGCAAGTACAACGACCCTCGACCTCTCGAGAACAGAACGTCCGATCCTCTCCTTGTCCTGTTTGAATGGAAGTCTCCCACATACGAGTACATTGAGGATATCCTCTCTACGACGATCTGGAACACTCTTGGTTCTCTGGCGGGCGTATTCGTCACACTCATCAAGGCGGGGGAGTATTTCTACGCCTGGATCAAAAGAATGAGAAGGTTTGTCAATTCAACTGTTTGTCTTACAGTGTAACCCAGGACCATGAATATTGTCCTCTATTCAGAGTGTGCTTTATTTGAAGGTTGAATAAAACATTAGCACACCAAATATAACTAGATAGATAGGGAGCCAGTTGGAGTCTAGATGTTTCGACGACTGCCTGTGGGAAAACTGGCAAAGTGTCGGCCAATGCCAATGGCAATGCCGACGTTGCAGTTTTGCTATTGGTATGCATTGCTAGCAGGTTTTGTGCTTTATTTATCATCCGGCCAAAACCCTTCACTACAAGTGAGGGGGTCAGAGTCAGAGTGAGCCAACCCTCAATATACAACTCTTGCCAGTTTTCCTTCTCAATCTCCTTATAGAACAAAAACCGGCAAGAGTTGTATAATTGAGGGTTGGCTCACTCTGCATGACTCTGACCCCTTCAATTATCCCTTACTCCCTTTCCCTCCACCTGCTCATTAAGGGAGCGACATAAGAAGTTGCTGAAACTCCGGGAGATAGAGGAGGAGAGGCGGAGAATGATGGCCGAGTACGAACAGAAGAGAGAGGAGAAGAGGAGACAGAGACTGGCCGAGAGCCAGGAAAGACTCAACAATGTCGTTAAGGAACGAGTGATGTCACAATGACATCATCATTTCTATTTATTATCACAATATTTCATGGTATATAAAATCACAGTATTATGTGTTTTGTTGTGTATATAGCTAAATGAAATGTTTCTATGCATCTTCTTCAGCGGCTGCGGCTGCTTGTCTTTCTTGTGACACCTGAGGAGGGGAAGACAAAATGAGAGAAAGAGAGAGGGAGGGGGAAGGTCACCTCTTCTGAGTCTGCTCGTTCGTCTTCCGTAAACTCTTCTTTGTCCAGCCGCTCCAACTTTGGAAGAGCCACCAGCACCTAAGACAGACACACACACAGTGTCAGCTATACTAGATACATACATACTTCTGAATGAGAATGACACTTTCTATTTCTCATTGTGTCCTTTATTCAGAAGTTTCATTGTACATTGTACCTCGAGACGGTAATCGTCGATTTCACTAATAGGACAATCAGCCAGTACTAGTCCACGCAGCAGAGGAAGTGGGCGGAGCTTAACAACCTCTGCATTGTCTGCCACGTGATTAGACCTGTTGGTGGCATTGCGTAATGATTACATCATTACGATGTCGCACACCTGAGGTTGAGGTACTGCAGGGCAGCCATGCTGGGGGTGAGCCCCTCCAATGAGGCGACTTGATTGTCTCTGGCATGAAGAGTGGTCAGTTGCCTCAGAGAGCTCAGTCCCTCTAGACTACCTGAACACACAGCAAGCAAGGACACAACATTAAGTAGTTCCGTTCCGTTTCAGAAAGAAAAACTCGTCAAATTGGAAAATCTTGCTATATATGCCTTTTGAAATATTTTCTCCATTAAAAAGCTTCAGCCACTCATAATGTATAGGACATTTGTGAGAAGGAGAACATGTGAAGTCATGTATGTATGAGAATGATTTGTAGCCCTATAAAAGTTCACTAACTTAGTTTATTGGAGGCAATGTAGAGTTTCTGTAGTGACGGCAACTGTATCCCGGCAACAGACGAGAGTTGGTTGCCGTGGAGATCGAGGGACCTGACACTGGGGAGGTGGCGGTCGTCGAGGTCGGCCAGCTCTGTAATCTGATTGGCTGAGAGGAGTGGTTATCAGTCACATGACGTGCAGGGAGGATCACATGATACTCACATGACAGGTTGAGTGTCTCCAGGAGAGGATGGGCGATGCCTCCTGTTGAGATTAATCTGTTCCCAGCCAAACTTAGTATCTGTAAATACTGCATCTGAGAACAACAAACAACAAAACAAACAACAACAAGTGGATGGGCAAAAATACACAGCAAAAATAACAAAAAAACAACAAACAATAAACAACTGTATAGTGCGAAACTTCAGTAGTTTCATGCTATAGAATCACAAACAACAAAAATCAACACACTAACAAATCAACAGCAAACAGATGTTTCAGTTTCAGCAAACCTCCTGTAGTTTAGGAGAGGTGATTTTGTTCTTGTCAGCCCTCACACTGAGCAGTTGTGGTAGGGCATTCAGGGAGCTCATATCTGTCAGATTGTTGCCGGAAATGTCCTGAAAATAGGGGGAGGAGAGGGTTAAAATGTGATGTGGAAGGGGTTAAATTATGAGGTGAAAGGGTTAAAATGTGAGGAGGAAGGACAGGTGCAGCGTTAAGGATTTTGACGAACCAGATATCGAACGTGAACATAGCAACTGAGAATTCCAATATCTGTCAGTTTCCTGGGGACAGGGAAGGATAAAATAATAATGAATCACGTGATAGTCACGTGACTACTCGACCTACTTGTCCCTGAGGTCCATCCGCACGTAGGCATGTGCCATCCCATTGCCAGTTTTAGCCAGCAATGAGAGGCTCTCCCCCGCTATCTCTTTCGTTAGAACTGCCTCCTCAACCTCTTCTTCCTGTACTTATATAACAGATTCCTTTCTTTTCAACCTCCCTCTTTCCTTTCTTACCTCTCCCTCTTCCTCCCCTTCCCCTCTCTCCTCCATCTCTTCCTCGTCCATGCTCTGTTACGTTGCCAGGTTACGCGGCTCAATTTAACCCCTTGTGAATCGTCTCCGTGGAAACGCAGTTTTTAACCATTTACGCACGCCACGCTCTTGCGTCCGTTTTGGAGTAATGGCTGCAAAGCCGAAGGGAGTTAGCCCGGCGCCCGAGCAAGGACAGTACGTGAGGCTCAGCAGCTGTTTCTCGGGACTTGTGGACAGGCAGGAGCGGGCCCTCGGACGGTTCACTGAGTCGCAGGACTACCGCGACGCCCGACTAGCCACCATCTGCTCGGAGTCGTCCGGAATAACCCTCGCCAACTGGCCGAAGCTCTCTCAGTCGAGAGGATCTCTGAAAAACCACGTCCGTGCGGGCGTTTCTCCGGCCGTCCGGAAGGCGCTGTGGTTGCTGGTGTCCGAAGTGTCTGATGATGATTCTGTCCTGTTTGCCAAGGCATTTGGTGAACCTGCTGATGGTATGAATAAAGGATAGCTTAGCGACATTGAAATTATCTTTTATTCAGTGGTTTTCTATATACACTAATGTATTAGTATGAGGCAGAACCAAGTGCCCTTTACAGAGGTGCTTCCTTATTTGGAGGTTCTTTTTTGCAGGGATTTTATTGTACCTCGTATCAAAAGTTACTGGGGAAAGAAAAGGTGTCCTTATTAGAGAGGTGTCCTCATTTCAGGGGTGTCCTTAGAGAGGGGTTCCACTCTACTCTGTTCCCTCTGCAGATGAGATGGAGGGCCAGCCGAGGCAAGTGTGTGCGATGTACGACTGGCCGTTTGAGCTCTCTGCTCTCCCTTCCTTCCACCTCAAGCCCCAGTATGACAGTGCATATTTCAGAGTGCTCTGTGCCTTCTCTTACTCCATGCCTAATGTGACCTGCTGCCCCCTCCTACCTGTCCTGGTGGGTCTGTATGGAGACTGTATGTGGCTAAGCTGTGACGTATACATCATGAGTGCAGTAGAAAGAAAACCAACTGTCCACCCACTGAGGACAGATAAAAGACCTGTCCTGGGTGGTGGGACTCGAACCAATGACACTCTGCAGTCTAGGCAGAGTGCTCTCTACCAGCTGAGCTATATATATACTTGGGCAGCTCAGCAGCAAGGCTCCGTACTTTATTTGCAAGGCCTCTGGTGAAAAGGATGGCAAACCTGCAGTGTATATACATGCAAACCTCTTGGGAATAACAGAATCCCTTTTCTTTGCAATTCCCAACTCAGTTTTGTTTACGTTCCGCGCCACACAAAAAGAAACACTGCTTATTGTCAAATCTCTCTTGCAGTCATTACGAGTGTGCATAAGAGCCCCAAGAGTTTTATAATAAAAAAATTGTATTTATCTTCTCCCTTCTCTCTCTGGTAGACGAAGATTTTCCTCCATTTCCTTGAAGAGTGGGAGTGTTACGCCGTTCTCCATCACATGTTGAGGAAGAGGGCGTGGCTGGACCAGAGCCTGCAACAGCTGCATGCCTCTCGCGTCACTTTCAGAGCTCTTTGCCACTCCCACATTGTGAGCTTCCCTTACCCCACCACCCACAACTAGGGTACCAACGGTTTTGCATTTTTTGCAGGCACATGACTAAACGAGATGACAAACCAACCATACCTAGTTGTTTAACTATAGTTGGAGGGTGGAATAGCACAACTATCTCACCTCTATCGAAATTTATAGTTGGTAACCTTTTCATTTACCCCTCTTATAATGCCTTAGGGTATGAACGATTTTGCAAATTTTTGCAGACACGTGGGTAAACTGAATGACAAACCAACCATACCTAGTTGTTTAACTATAGTTGGAGGGTGGAATAGCACAACTATCTCACCTCTATCGAAATTTATAGTTGGTAACCTTTTCATTTACCCCTCTTATAATGCCTTAGGGTATGAACGATTTTGCAAATTTTTGCAGACACGTGGGTAAACTGAATGACAAACCAACCTAGTTGTTTAACTATAGTTGTAGCAGTGCTATCTCGCTGTTTCATCTCACTTTCCATTTCCCCCCTCCCGTCTCGTTCAATAAGGCTATCAATGATTGTTTATACTCCGTGCATCCCTGTATCAATTCTCTCTCCCCCAGAAAGGGTCCCTGGGGCAGCTGCTAACCCTCTGCCCCTCTGGCCTCACGGAGGACAAGTTCCTCTCCCAACTCACCCTCCACTGGTACAGCTGGCCGTTCTACAACCAGCCGTTCTGGCTCCAGGCGAGGGTGGCTGACATGTATCTCACCGAGGGACCCAAACTGCTCTACCGACTGGGGCTGGCCGCCATGAAGATGTTTGCCGATCAAGGGAGACATTTATGTATGTTTTCCTCACTTTTCCCTTTTCACAATCTCTCCTGCAATTTTTGTGAAACTTGGCTAAACTGTAGAGTATGTGTATATCTGCTTTTGAGCGAGACAGTAGGAGAAAGACAGGAGCAAAATATGGGTAAAACCGAGGTAGGGGGAAAGATTAGAGTTTGGAGCATAATAAAACATTCTCTTTCTTTCCTTCATTTCATTTCGTCCTCCCTTTCTCCCACCCAGCCTCACCAATAGAGGTCAGTCTCCAGGAGTTCACGGTTGCCATGACGCCCCACCAACGATGTGATTGGTTCAAAACAGCGTTTTCGCTCCCTCGTCTCCCGTGGGCGTCGGTCCTTCGCCAGTGGGGTGGCTACCTCGCCAAGATCCCGGCTGACTTCACCGGCGAAGAGGTCTGCTGGGTTTTCACTGAAACCTCTGAATAGAGGTTCTGCCCCATTCTAATACATGAAAGTAGTTGAAATGGACCTAAAGAACACCTCCCAGGCTGTTGAGGTATCGCTGTATGTATGTATCCCCGCAAGCAAGTGGAGGGAAGGACAGGCAAACCAATCATCCTGAATACCTTGACTATAGCTGGAGTGTGCAGTGAGAGAATAGGGTGGCCTAAATTGTTTGTACTTTTAGCAGGCAAGTGGAGGGAAGTACAGGCAAACCAATCATCCTGAATACCTTGATTATAGCTGGAGTGTGCAGTGAAAGAATAGGGTGGCCTAAATTGTTTGTACTTTTAGCAAGCAAGTGGGGGGAAGGACAGGCCAACCAACCATACCTTGACTATAGCTGGAGTGTGCAGTGAAAGAATAGGGTGGCCTAAATTGTTTGTACTTTTAGCAAGCAAGTGGGGGGAAGGACAGGCCAACCAACCATCCTGAATACCTTGACTATAGCTGGAGTGTGCAGTGAAAGAATAGGGTGGCCTAAATTGTTTGTACTTTTAGCAAGCAAGTGGGGGGAAGGACAGGCCAACCAACCATGAATACCTTGACTATAGCTGGAGTGTGCAGTGAAAGGGTGGCCTAAATTGTTTGTACTTTTAGCAAGCAAGTGGGGGGAAGGACAGGCCAACCAACCATCCTGAATACCTTGACTATAGCTGGAGTGTGCAGTGAAAGAATAGGGTGGCCTAAATTGTTTGTACTTTTAGCAGGCAAGTGGAGGGAAGGACAGGCCAACCAACCATCCTGAATACCTTGACTATAGCTGGAGTGTGCAGTGAAAGAATAGGGTGGCCTAAATTGTTTGTACTTTTAGCAAGCAAGTGGGGGGAAGGACAGGCCAACCAACATCCTGAATACCTTGACTATAGCTGGAGTGTGCAGTGAAAGAATAGGGTGGCCTAAATTGTTTGTACTTTTAGCAAGCAAGTGGGGGGAAGTACAGGCAAACCAATCATCCTGAATACCTTGACTATAGCTGGAGTGTGCAGTGAAAGAATAGGGTGGCCTAAATTGTTTGTACTTTTAGCAGGCAAGTGGAGGGAAGGACAGGCAACCAACCATCCTGAATACCTTGACTATAGCTGGAGTGTGCAGTGAAGAATAGGGTGGCCTAAATTGTTTGTACTTTTAGCAAGCAAGTGGAGGGAAGGACAGGCAACCAACCATCCTGAATACCTTGACTATAGCTGGAGTGTGCAGTGAAAGAATAGGGTGGCCTAAATTGTTTGTACTTTTAGCAAGCAAGTGGGGGGAAGGACAGGCCAACCAACCATCCTGAATACCTTGACTATAGCTGGAGTGTGCAGTGAAAGAATAGGGTGGCCTAAATTGTTTGTACTTTTAGCAAGCAAGTGGGGGAAGTACAGGCCAACCAACCATCCTGAATACCTTGACTATAGCTGGAGTGTGCAGTGAAAGAATAGGGTGGCCTAAATTGTTTGTACTTTTAGCAAGCAAGTGGAGGGAAGGACAGGCCAACCAACCATCCTGAATACCTTGACTATAGCTGGAGTGTGCAGTGAAAGAATAGGGTGGCCTAAATTGTTTGTACTTTTAGCAAGCAAGTGGGAGGGAAGGACAGGCCAACCAACCATCCTGAATACCTTGACTATAGCTGGAGTGTGCAGTGAAAGAATAGGGTGGCCTAAATTGTTTGTACTTTTAGCAAGCAAGTGGGGGGAAGGACAGGCCAACCAACCATACCTTGACTATAGCTGGAGTGTGCAGTGAAAGAATAGGGTGGCCTAAATTGTTTGTACTTTTAGCAAGCAAGTGGAGGGAAGTACAGGCAAACCAATCATCCTGAATACCTTGATTATAGCTGGAGTGTGCAGTGAAAGAATAGGGTGGCCTAAATTGTTTGTACTTTTAGCAAGCAAGTGGGGGGAAGGACAGGCCAACCAACCATACCTTGACTATAGCTGGAGTGTGCAGTGAAAGAATAGGGTGGCCTAAATTGTTTGTACTTTTAGCAAGCAAGTGGGCGGAAGTACAGGCAAACCAATCATCCTGAATACCTTGACTATAGCTGGAGTGTGCAGTGAAAGAATAGGGTGGCCTAAATTGTTTGTACTTTTAGCAGGCAAGTGGAGGGAAGGACAGGCAAACCAATCATCCTGAATACCTTGACTATAGCTGGAGTGTGCAGTGAAAGAATAGGGTGGCCTAAATTGTTTGTACTTTTAGCAGGCAAATGGAGGGAAGTACAGGCTAACCAACCATCCTGAATACCTTGACTATAGCTGGAGTGTGCAGTGAAAGAATAGGGTGGCCTAAATTGTTTGTACTTTTAGCAGGCAAGTGGAGGGAAGGACAGGCAAACCAATCATCCTGAATACCTTGACTATAGCTGGAGTGTGCAGTGAAAGAATAGGGTGGCCTAAATTGTTTGTACTTTTAGCAGGCAAGTGGAGGGAAGGACAGGCTAACCAACCATCCTGAATACCTTGACTATAGCTGGAGTGTGCAGTGGGTGGCCTAAATTGTTTGTACTTTTAGCAGGCAAGTGGAGGGAAGGACAGGCAAACCAATCATCCTGAATACCTTGACTATAGGTGGAGTGTGCAGTGAAAGAATAGGGTGGCCTAAATTGTTTGTACTTTTAGCAAGCAAGTGGAGGGAAGGACAGGCAAACCAATCATCCTGAATACCTTGACTATAGCTGGAGTGTGCAGTGAAAGAATAGGGTGGCCTAAATTGTTTGTACTTTTAGCAAGCAAGTGGAGGGAAGTACAGGCTAACCAACCATCCTGAATACCTGGACTATAGCTGGAGAGTGCAGTGAAAGAATAGGGTGGCCGCAAGATGAAACGTCCTCCACTGTATTTCTCTCTCCCCTGTTGTCCAGGTGGATTCTGGTTTCCCCTCGCTCCCTTCCTACACACGTCACGTGAACCCTGACATCTCGTCCGACATATTCCCTAACGAGGAGGCGTGGCAAGCTGTGTGGGCGTGGCTACCGGAGTGGGTGACATGCGAGAGCCCCGAATGCATCTTCAGAGCTTCTCAAGATGGTTACAAGTCAGTCCATCCTCCTCCCACTTTTCTTCTTCACTTTACTTTCTCTTTGTTCATGCTTTGTATATTATAGTATATAGCAAAATTGTTACATTTGTGGGTGTGGTCTTGGTATGTGAAAAATGAGCTTTCAGGCAAACTGTTCATAAAACGTCGATATTTTACATCAACTTTATAACCTCAAAATTGGGATGCAAGATATTTTCATCTCCTTCCATTATTTTCATAGCTTCTTCCCTATCTTACGTTGTGTGTCTTAACGAGTGTATTATTATTGTTGTTAGCCTCAGGACTCTGTTCAGGAAGTGTGAGAAGACTAGTTCCCTGGTTCTCGTCATCAGAACTTCTCACAATGAGGTAGTGGAATCTGTTTTGAGAGGAACATAACTTTCTTCACACATTTCACACAGTTTTAAGCCCAAGTGGGTTTTAGGCTTTTTTCTCTGGAATTTTTGCAATCTTTAGTGTTTTGCAACCATTTGTTTCTTGAGCTGAGACTTTTATGTGCATAGTCTGACAGAGGTTTTGGAATGTGCATCTTTTCAATGGCAACTGACGCAATGTACATTAAAGTCCATAAAACAGTTCCGAATTGTAATTAATTCCCCCCCCCCCTCGTGGAAGTTTCCCCCTCAACTATGTCTCAACTATATACCTTTGCAGGTGTTTGGAGCGTTCATTGCGAGCGACCTGCGAGAGAGACACGAGGCCCAGTTCTTCGGGACGGGGGAGACGTTTCTGTTTGCCCTGGTTCCTCAGCCCGCTCTGTTCAGATGGACTGGGGACACTGACCTCATTCTGAGGGCCAACGACCAGGAGCTGATCGTTGGGTCGGGAGGAGGGTAAGCCACTCTCTCTCTCTCCTCTCTCCTCTCACCCTCTTTCCCCACCCTATCTCCACCCACTTTGTCTTCCCCTTCCCTAGTTCGGGATTCATTGACTTCATTCCAACCTTCTGCCACTGCAGAGTTTCTTCATTTAGTTAATGATTTTTAATGAACTTCCAAACAATAAAAGAATGTTTCGTGTATTTGGAGTGTACATTATCACCAAGTTGTTTTCTCTCCGTCTCCCTTTCTTGATCTCTGCAGGGCGTTTGGACTGTGGATTGATGGGGAATTGAACCACGGTAGCTCTAGGACTTGTCTAGCATTCAACAACTCTCCCCTCTCCTCATTAGATACTAGCTTCAGATGTTCCAATGTTGAGGTGTACAATTGTGACTTGTGAGTATATTTTATAGTCAACCGCCACTTTTTTGTGTATTGAGCCACAGTGCTACATAGGCGCGCGCGCGCGCGTATAATTATAGCTGCGCATGCGCACGCGGCGTGTGATCTACGCGCGCGCACCCGGCTAGCGTGCAATCCATGGCCGGTCGCGGTCGCGATGAGCCGGATCGAGCAGGTTGTGTGGGTTTAGAGGAATGAGTTATGAATTTATGTGTGAGTCTCGTATGTACGTGCATATTGATCACACTGCACTGGAGGTGTGATGTTGGTCTCATGACCACTTCCAAGGGGGTTAACTCATGATGGAGGACATAGAAGACTGTGTGGGGGCTGGCCACGCCCACCCAGCTCCCCGGAGGGAAGTTCTACCCCGTGCACTCCGACCCCGGAGACGACGTACTCCGGAGGAGGTACCCCAGAGTGACAGTTTCATTCCGGGGACGCAATCCGTGTACCTCAAGACTTGGGGTTGTTCCCATAACACCAGTGATGGAGAGTACATGGCGGGCATGTTGGCAGCTGCCGGATACAACATCACTGGTGGGCGGTCATCTTCCTCATATCCCTCACTTTTCGTGTTTACTCAATACTCCCAATCCTCCCCTCTTATGCACCAATTAAATGCATTCTTTGAAGCCACACCTTGATTTACGTACCTTGACCTCTGACCTCCAGACTCTCCGCTGTCGGCAGACTTGTGGCTCCTGAACAGCTGCACTGTGAAGGGTCCCGCGGAGGACGGACTGAAGAACGCCATCAGGAAGGGGAGGGAATTGGGGAAGTCCCTAGTCGTTAGCGGCTGTGTTCCTCAGGGACAGCGGAGCCACACTGACATCATGGGGCTTTCTGTCGTTGGGGTCAGTGGGGTCATCGTCGTGGCGACACTTTATTATAACGCAATGTGTTGCTATATTTAGGTTCAGCAGATTGACAGAGTTGTGGAAGTGGTAGAGGAAACATTGAAAGGTAACGTATTTTAGAAAACTGTTTGTTTTTAAAAAGTTTGCAAGAGAACTTACTAAGACAGTTATTGAACTTTTAAATTAACATTTTTGGGAAAGTCAGCGAAAATTGTACTCATAACAAAACTTCTCAAGATTTGCTACTAGCTGTAAATATGCTGATTTGCTGCCTCTTCCTCTCCCTCTCCTCCATCTCTGACAGGAAATACAGTCAGACTCTATGGCGAGCGTCGCGTAAACGGCAAGAAAGTGGGCGGAGCTCCGCTGGACCTGCCAAAGATACGAAAGAACCGTCTCATCGAGATAATCCCGATCAACACTGGCTGTCTGAACCACTGCACCTACTGCAAGACGAAGCACGCCAGAGGAGATCTGGGGAGCTACCCGCCACGCCAGGTGGTGGAACGAGCCAAACAGGCTTTTCAGGAGGGAGTTGTTGAGCTGTGGCTGACCAGCGAAGACCTCGGAGCCTACGGACATGACATCGGCATCACCCTCCCGGAGTTGCTATGGCAACTGGTCCGTGTGGTCCCCGAGGGGTGCATGGTTCGTCTCGGAATGACCAACCCTCCGTACATCATGGACCACATGACGGTGGGTGGGGATTCAACTTTGCAGTTTTACAGCATTTTAGATCTTGTTGTGTTTGCAGGAGATGGCGGCCATATTGCGTCATCCTCACGTCTATTCATTCCTCCACGTCCCTGTGCAGTGCGGCAGTGATTCTGTCCTCGCTGAAATGAGGAGGGAATACACCGTGGCTGACTTCACCACACTCCTCGACTACCTCCTGGAACAGTCAGTGTTGTTTTGCCAGTTTTTTTCTTCAGTATACTACTCTAGTATTCTTTCAGTATACTACTCTTAGTACAGTATACTACTCTGTTTATTCCAGTATTCCTACTCAGTATTCTATCTCCTATGTATATCTCTGCATTCTTCTTACAAAAGTTATTTCCCGCTTCAGTGTTCCGGAAATCTCCATAGCAACAGACATCATATGTGGGTTCCCCACGGAAACGGAAGAGGTATTATGCAATAGTGGTGAATGTCCGCATAATGTCTGCATTATCTGAATTTTTGTTCCGCAGGATTTTGAGGAGACGATGCGTCTAGTGGCGAGGTACCATTTTCCCAGTCTGTTTATCAACCAGTTTTACCCTCGACCTGGAACACCTGCCGCTCGTATGAGACGAGTTCCTACTCATCTGGTAATGGTGCAGCTAGAGAGTGCTAGGGGTTAAATATACTATCATGTGGTTCCTAACTGGTTGATGCTGTAGTGTTGGATTATACGTATATAGCACTGCATTCTCCAGCTATAGTCAGTTCAAAGCTTTTCCAGCACCTAAAGGGATAATAATGGCTCTGACTATGCCCCCTGGAGGTTGAAGACACCAAAGGGTTAAGTATTCTTTGTCCACACCCCCTGCAGGTGAAGGCTCGAAGCCGAAAGCTGTCTGCTCTCTTTCACTCTTATTCTCCGTACACCCATCTTGTCGGGACGACGCCGACTGTACTGGTCACCGAGGTTTCCAGTGACGGGAGGTTCTTTGTCGGCCACGACAAATCATATCGCCAGGTGACGATGTAACCATTACATCACTGATAGAAAATGAAATGTACACATGTTTTGAGGTGTTTGTCCTGCCAATGTTTGTTTGGCGATTACTATAATTATAGGATGGTAGTTTTAACAACCAATGCTGACTATAATAATAATACTCAGGTGGCTGCCATAGCACTAGGGCCATAGACCACCAATGCTGACTATAATATACTAAATGTGTGAAAGTGAAACTCTGTGTCAGGTTCTGGTACAGCGTGAGGACGGACTGATGGGTAGAAAGGTCAAGGTTCGGATCACCAGCGCTGGAAAACACTACGTTATGGGTGAGTTGAACTTTGACCTAATTTTGTGTACCAGTTGCGTGCCATGACTACTAATTTACTGCCTACCAATGCAGGGGAGATCCTGAGGGAATCAACTGTTGAACCACTTCCCAAGACTGTTACCGTGACAACACCTCCCGTTGTCATGGAGACCGTGCCAACTATGTGGAGTTATGTCGGGGGTCAGAGGTCACTGGAGGGGATATTACTGGCAGTAGTGGTGTGTGTGGTTGGCTGGCTGCTGGCGAGACATTACACTGGATTAATCACTCTCTTAGCCACACCCACTTGATGTTTCACCCACTTTCATTTCACCAACCAACTCTTGCTCTGAACTTGTTAATCAATTCTATCCCTCTGCTTGCTTGCTCTATATAGCAGCTGGACCCTACAGTTTGCTATAGTGCTCTTCTTTGCATGCAAATCAGCAAATCTGTGTTACGAATGGCATCTTGTAATAGTAGACAGCTACACTATACGGTGTGTTGGTGGGTGTGTCTTGGGTGGAGCTAGTAGTCTATCCCTGAGTGGGCGGGGTTTGGCTTGTGTACTTTGACCTCTCCCATCAGATCCATTGGCTGGATTGGTGTGTCTTTGGCTCTCTTTGTCGCTAGACTGTGTCACTGGTGAAGGAAAATTCAGTATACTCTCTGGATATTTCAGGAAACTCTAGTATTCTCTACGATACCATCAGGATATTCCAGTAATCTCATAGTAATCTCCTATACTCTCAGGATAATATTTTTGCAGACTCTATATAGGATACTGTTCCTCTTTCCTGCGCTGCATCTTTTCGAGATGTCGCCATCTCTTCTCGTCTCTCTCGACAGCATCTTCATGGAGGTACTGTATCCACAGTCTCCCCACCTTCTGACTGAGGGTTTGGGTGGGCGGAGCCTGTGAGAGGGACAATGATTGGAGAGAAAGGGAGAAAAAATTTACAGTATATCAGTTTGTGGTATATAGGGTCCCTACGGCAGGGGCGAAGCAAATTCACACAGCTGAGGTGGAGAATGCTGCAGTACCTACTATAGTATTATGTCAAGTGACAAATTTGTCATGTATTTCTATCTAGAGTAACGTACGGTCTTTGGGCCCTCATCTGGTCCAGGATTGGTGTGGGTATTATGGAACAGGGACGTATCACCATCTCCCCATGGAAACGGCTGCAGAAAATGAAACAACAAGCTCAGTTTCCAATTCCCCAGTTTCCCATACCTTGGTTCTGATTCTGAGGTGAGACCACGGAATGTAGGAATAGGAATGATGCTCCTCCCCTTCTAGTTTTTAACAAATACATATGATGTAAGGATTACATCACTGTAAAACCCACCAATCAGGCTCTTCCAAGCAAAGTAGCCGACAGTAGGCAGACAGAGAAACAGCGACTTCAATGAGAATAGTATCCGGACTAGTATACGGAGATAAACAAACGGAGCCTTACTATCCGTTTCCAGGTGTTTTTCACGGAGGCTGCGTGCGTCTCTTCCTCGACCAGTCTTTCCTGGTAGCTCGAGAGTCGCCGAGTCACTGCAGATACAGCAACACAAAGACTCGACGGTAACAGCAACAAAAAACGTGAACTCGACTAACGAAAAGCATATAGGAACCTTTATAAAAAGCTATAGACGCAGAGAGAAGTGCTTAAGGCACAAGCCTGCAACATACAAGGTCGAGAAGACGATGAAAGCAGCCTGTGCCACGCCATTTCTTGTGTATAATATAGTGAGTCGGCTACACACCCAGGTGTACTGCGCATGCGCACGAGTGTTCGGGGTTAATGCATTGCTCCGCCCAGTTGTGTGTGGCTGAGAAGTGCGATTGAGCAGTTGCGACTTCTACTTCGCTTTTCATCCGCTAGAACTGACGAGAGGAGGCAGTTTACGGTGAGTAGACAGACTAAAGTGCACGGGTCTTGCGTAAGGAATGCGCACGTGGCGTTTTGGCCGAAATCCGAGGCTCAGAGAGCGGAAAAACACCGCATGAAAAGCCCTCTTTGTGACACACTACGCCATGACAGGTGGATCCAGAAACGATCCGTGGGAATAGACGTTGCCCCTACCCTCAACTAATGGCCTTACTATCCCTTTATTTCTACCAACTCCTGGGTCAACGTTAGTTTTCTGACATCACATGGTCTAATAGTTAGCCCCAAGCTTTTGGTGGTAGCCATGTACTTTAGCTAGAATGTTACTCAACCGATCTGTTTCTCACCCTTGTGCGCACATATTGACATCAGCTCTCTTCCCTCACAATCTTTCCACAGTGACAGTGGGTCGACGGTAGCAACCATGGATTCCGGATCGCAACAAGATATAAAGATCATCGATAAAGACGAAAGCTCCGATCAGGGATTTCACGTTGTCGGTGGATTTGTCATCGAAGATAGCAAGACAGCCTATGTGGTGTGTATTTGCAGCAGAACCCCTCTAATCTGGTCACCAATAGTGTCTGTATTAGCGAGGTATCCTCTTTTCAGGAGTTATCGCATGAACTGTTCTTAGGGGAACAATGGTGTTGAGAGATTCAGGGGTGTCCTTCGAGAGGGGTTACACTGCATACTGGCAGTTTTTTCTTCAATTTGCTGTATTTTCAATTTTCGTTCATCTCGTGTGTTTTTTCAGAATGGTCGTCTGTCCTTTGTACCAGAGGACTACGGAAAGCCGTCGACCACACCCACTTCGGCCTCTGTGCCAGCTGCCACTCCCACTTCCATTCCACACAAAAAACAGAAAGGTATTTTTTTTAATCTCTCCAATTTTTCTCCCCCCCTCTCTCTTTCCTCTTTTTTCTTCAAATGGAAATGAGGACACCTCTTTAAAACGACACCGTTTCCAATTGAACCCCTGAACACCTCACTTATATGAACACTAGTACTGTCTATATTAGAGGGGTTCCACTGTATATATGTATACCTTACCTCCTTCTTTTCTTCTTTTCTTCTTTTCTTCCTGTCTTCCTTCACTCCTTGTATCATTACATTGCCAATGTCTCTCTCTCTCTCTCTCTCTCCTGCAGCCCCAGCTCAGCTAGCCCAGCAGCCCGAGGACCTCCCTGAGGGCATGTACCGCTGTGAATTCTGTGGTCACGTGGAACACAAGGCAAAGTTTCTGGCACCGAGTCGAAGATTCTGCTCTCTGACTTGCTGCAAGAGGTTGGGAGACTTGAGTCTTTCATCTCTCTTCTTTTTATCTGTCAGCTGTCCGTTTGCCAGTCCCTCCTTCCCTCCTTCCCTCTATTTTCCCTGCCCTTTGCTTATTGCTTATTGGCGAGCAGAGCAAACAAGTTGGCCTATTTATCTGAATTACATACAGTTGCCATGCTCTATGGGCTTGCTGACATTTGCAATAGCAGTTGTGAGCGTCTGTTATTCCACGTTGTACAGGTATAGTGCTGAGAAGAGGTACTATCCTTATGGGAAGGACGAAGAGGGAATTGCACAATCAATCAGAGAGGGGCTCCTTAATCCAAATCGCTCCTCTAGCAAACCTGGTCGTGGCAGCAAGCAGGTGAGTCACATGATTTCCAACCCATGATCACGTGACTCTCGTGTGATCCTGACTGTTCCTGGGCACCTTACTGTCATGTAATATCCACTGTCCTCCATATTGATCTCAACTGTTCAATCCCCGTGATCACATGACTGTCATGTGATCTCCATCGCAGGTGAGGGAAGAACGGCGCAGGAGGCTGGCATTCTACAGCAAGAGTCCTAGTCAGGATCCGGGACCGTCTGGCGACATAGTCCCTCGCAGACCAGTCAGTAGATATACAGTTGTTGTTATTATAGACAGCTTTCAGTATTGTAGAGGGCCATTGGTATATAGAGTTTGTAGAAGGAGGTTGGTTGTGGTTTGTTATAGTTTGTAATGGGAGATTCAATTTGGTTTCCTTGCAGAGGGGGAGAGGTGGGAGGAGGGGGAGGAGAGGGCGAAGGCCAGCGTCTCCGACGTCCACACACCCTCCTCAAGTGAGACACAATCTAGCGCCTGTCTAGTATTTTCCTTCTTTTCTCACTTCTCAGAGTTCCAGAAGTGGGCAGGGCTCTCTGAATACATCAATGATGGAAAGTATGTGAAAATACACTACATCTTTAACGGCATCAATTTCTCCACACACGGTCCGATATGTATTGGTATGCATATGGATTCTTAATATACCTCATATTTTATTTTAAGTTTTGCTTTTTACTACAGAGCATGAAACCAATCTCTTTTGGAAAGTTGGCATGTGTGCTAAAAGAACATGTCATAATGTTCTTCATATCTCCCCTCCCCCTGCCCTCTCTCTATCTTCTCAGCGTACGCCCATCCGTATGGCACTCCTCTCTACGAGTGGACAGTTGAGGATGTCGGAGATTTTCTGTCGGCTCTCGGCTACGAGGCCTACATCGACAAATTTGTGGAACACGAAATCGACGGACGTGCGTTGGGTTTGGTCCGGGATCACCACCTGCTCATGACGATGAAGCTGAGACTGGGACCAACGCTCAAGATCTGCGAGCAAGTCCAGGCCATCAAGGCCAACGACGATATCTTTGACGATTGATTGATCTCGCACCCTCCACCACCTCATCTGTCTCTCACACATCTCAAGAAAAGTCACCAACACATCATTTCTTGTCGTACGTTTGCTCTTCCCTTCTCACCTCACTGCCTCTCACGTGTGCCCTGTTTCACTCCTCGAGTGTGTAGCTGAAAATTTTGACCGAAAGATAAACTTCCAGCGGTTTTTTTTAATCATTAGGCGTAGCCGTCGTCGATCTTTGGACCCGTTTCATTACACCAATAGTTGCCTTATAATCAGTGACATCATATCATCAACTGTAATCATATTAACTAGTCCATTATGTCATGCATTATAATATATACACACATGTTCCCTCTGTCAAAATGTACAGTTCTTGTGAATAATTTTTTATGTCAAATTGAACAGAAGTTGAAACTGGGTAGTTAACAATTATTGATGACATAACTATGACATAATTGTGTACATATATAATATAGCATGAGTGATGGGGGGAAAAACATAAAAAATTATTTTACCACATCTGCATTGTATGTCAGCAATTTGAAAAAGACATGAAATTGAATTGATTAGCTAGTAAAAATGTAGCTATGGCACAAAAAAGTGGTTTGGTGGTACTATGTGGGTGTGTGTGGGCCTGTAAGTGGGAGGAGTCAAAGGGGCGTGGTTGTTGGGTGTGGCTAACTGTCTAATGATGGAGGGGCTGGGAGGATCCATTGGTTAGGGTGCCTGCGTTGCCGTTGGCGATTATGTATTGAAGAATCGGATCGTTAGCATCATACAGTGTCGGGAGGGGCTTTGGTGTTGCCATGGTAACAAACTCCGGTCCTCTCCTGTCGGTAATGACTCCCATCTGAGTTCCGTTGTGGAGGGCGTGGTGCTGCAGTGTCGGCATGACAACGACCTCGTTCGGCGAGGAGACATGATGCTGGTGGTATTGGTGAAGTGAGGGGTGTGGGGAGTGGGCAGGGACGCGTGATGTAATGATGACATCAGGGGAAGGGGGAGAGGGGTCTGGAATGTTAACTAGAGTCATTTGGATCATGTCGGGTGGAGATGGGGCGTGGCTAATGTGGGTGTGGGGTGTGGCTTCGTTGTGAACGGACTGGACCGAGATCGGATGGTGACTCAAAATGTTGCTCGGAGCGGAGGTGGGCATAAATTGTTGTCCGGTTACCTCGGACATGGGGATCATGGTGATCTCCTCCGCAGCCTCGAATGCGAGGGTGCTCTCCAGCGTCACGGAGGGTGCGGGGGGCGGTGGGGAATACTCAGGAGGGGGGCAGGGGTTTCCAAATTCGTCGTTCACGTCCCTGTGCATCAGTCTGCAGTGGTCGGCGAACCTGGTGAGGTCGTGGAACGCCTCTCCACAGTGCTTGCACTTGTGAATCCGGTCCCTCCGATGAGCCTGAATGTGCGCTCGCAGATAGTCTCCGCGGGCGTAGCGCTGTCCACAGATGTGACAAGTAAAAGGTTTTTCGCCAGTATGAATCCGCATGTGGCGTCGAAGGTGCGTAGCTCGGATAAAACGATGGTTGCACACGTTGCATAGAAACGGTCGCTCGGGCTCTGGTTTCTCGGTTGAGGGTGGGAGGGGCCTGGGATCAGAGAAAGAGGGCAGGGCACCCTGAATTACCTGTTCATCCGGTTCAACCAGATTCACAAACTGGATTCCCGGGCTCTCTACTCCGTCCGAGGTAACCCCGAGGGACATTACCCCGGAGACTGACTCCGGGGTAGCGACGGACGCCAGGAGGTGTAAGTTACTCCCCGACGACGACCCAGTGGGGTGCGGGGTAACAAAAGCTCCACCCCCTGGGGTTTTCCCCTGTGGGGTATGCGGCGGAGTCTGAGTGGGGATTTGTCCCACTGGGGGATGGTTCTTTCGACGGTGGCGATCCAGATGTGATGCCCGGTCGAATTCCTCCCCGCACTGCTGGCATTTGAACACGGCGACTTGGTGCAGGAGGGAGTGGCGGTTCAGGTGGTCGGCTCTGTTGAACCGTTTCCCGCAGATTTGGCACAAGAATATCTTATTGTCCGGGTCGGGGTGTGTCAATATGTGCTGTTGGAAGAGGTGTTGACGAGTGAATCGCTGTCCGCACACCTGACACGATACTGCCGTGTCCTTCCCGTCACCCTTCCTGCTAAACCCGTTTCCGCCAGGTTGCGACGTTTTCGAGGACTGCGGCCGACGTTGGATGAACGCCAATCTCTTCTTGTTGATTGGGTACTTGCGGAGTAGCCGGCTCATGAAGCTACACTGAGGAATGGAGTAAGCGAGTTTGAGCGCGTTGTGGTCCCTGCGAGCGTCGATCGGGGTCTCCAGCTGCAGAAAGTCCTCTGCTTTTGAAAAGTCGATGTCTCCGTCCTCCAAGGTTTCGTTGGTGTGGATCACCGTCGACTGCTGGTGGTCGTTAAAATGAGTCGAGATAGCGAGGGCGGAATTGATCGGCGAATCCACTAGGATTGAGAGGGGGACAGGCTGCTCGACCTGCAGTCTCATGTGGGCCACGCCAAATCCTCCAAACATCTGTTCCTTTAGCTGCTGCAGCTTCAGGTCCTGGACGCGAATCAGCTCCGTGAATGCTGGGCACAAGAGAGAGAAAACAATCGATAGGTTTCTGAAATCCCCATGGCCTGAAATTGAGCCCTCACAGAAGGTTTGATTTACACAAGGCTCTAAGGAGGTGTAGACAATGAATGGCTAATTACCGCACCCGGCTACAACCGCTTCAAAGGCTTCCAGAGCATTATCGCGCGGGACGGGAATGCCAATCAAAAACTAATCGGAGAGGGATGCGGGCCCCCACGCGCCATGCCCGGAGGCAAGGCTAATCAGTTTTTCTCACCCCGACCACAAAGACGGCCAGCTACTTACAATCCCTCCAGGGCCACCTTTCAACGAGTAATCAACTCACTTGGTCGTTCCAGTTCTTCTTCTAGCGCCAGCGCTAGCCGATGGCCGGCTAGGCACACGCCTCCGCTGCCTCCGAGCCCTCCGTAGCGGCCCGTCGTCCTCGCGTATCTTCTCGGCATCTCCTCACGAAATTTCTCGTTCGCACAGCTAGGTCCGTGGTGATCAGAAAACCCCGGTTACAAATTCTTCGTGCGCGACGCAGTCGGGCTGTTGAGTCGACTCACGTCTTTTCACGGCCGATGACGATCTATCGAGCTCTAGGGCGAATCCGTACGCGGCGACCGTGCACCCCGCGAACCCGGCCCTCCTACCGCCCAGCGACACGGCGCTCGAGGCGGCGATGGGGATTTTCGCTCCGACTCCGGGCGATCGAAGTGACGGACGACAGCGCGAGGCTTTCGAGACGCGGCAAAAATGGCTGGGGCCTAACTCTTTGGGGAAGAGCCGAGACTGATTGGATTCCGCGGTGCGCGTCATAAGAACAACTCTACCAATCAGATCGCAGTAAACCGTCACGCAATCCACACGTGCGCCCAAAATCCGCGCATGCGCAATAGGTTACCACATCAGGCGCATGCGCATTAAATTCAATGCAGCCACATACACATATAGACTCTCTCTATGTATCAGAGTGTTCTTGTCTGGTGAGACACCACTGTTCTATTCTCCTCTGCAGCTCAGGCTGAGGAACTAACATGTCCAGAGTCAATGGTTGTCTGTTGAAAGGATCGATACTGGAATTCAGCAGATGTCTAACAATCACCGGACGATCAACGATCATCCCACTCGGGAGACGAACCGGCTCCTCCATTACCGTGTCCATAATTGGATCTGAACGGAGACAGAAAAAAGGGGTGTGTCTGGGAGTAAAGGGTTTGTGTAGCTGTTAACCTTTGAATTCGTCAGGGACGACGCCGTATTCAATATCTTGCATGAGAGCAGCAGTTGCTTCGCTCTCAACGCGACCGGAGAACTCCTGGAACTGACCAATCAGATTCAGCGGCTTGACCTGGTTCTTTATCATGAGAGCGACGCAAGCGTCAAACACTTCCTTACTGTAAGATCGCTGGGAGGGAGGAGAGAATGGGAGGCATTAATCTTTTGCCACTCTAAATTCAGTCTTGTTTTCACAACCTGCACAATGTGCATTACCTCATCGTTGGCAACAGCTCTGGCCAACTGCTTACTGTCCAAATGGAGGTAAATGTCAGTAATGGTGTTGAGCAACTCTTTTGGCCGAAATCCATACTTTTCCGGTTCCTTCACCTGCAACCACAAGACAGACGCACTGATTTTAACACCAATTATGATGTCGTAATGACATCACCTTCAAATCCCTGTATCTCGGACCGGTCAACTGCTTGAGGTTGAAAGTCAACATGGACGCAACCCTTGGCGCCATCTCCGGCCGCAGAAACGGCTCCTGAACCTGTAGACGGCATTACATCATGATGACATCATCGTACAAATCGGAGGAGTTCCACTGACCTCTTGAGTGAGGTGGTGGAAAAAGGTCATGACCTCCGAAGAGAGAGTGAGATACGAACGACACTGTCTCTCGTCCTCTGCCAACTGATGCAGTCTCAATTCCCTCATCTCCTAACCATCGGACAAAGACATACACAAAACCAACGCTACACCTTCTGATAACAATACTTTCAACATGAGAAGGAAATCCTGTGACAAAGTTATTGCAAACATGGTTACAGTGTGGCGTAAAATTATCTGTGACAACAAATTCTTTCAGAGTTTGATGTCTTGTGAAGGAAAGAGGGCCTAAAGTCTTGGTAAGCACGTGGGGTGGGGGGAAGGACAAACCAATCCCATCTATAGCTGGAGAGTGCAGAGGACAATCACGTCATCGTGACATCACCATCGTGGCTGTTGTCATAGTTACCTGAGACTGCTGATTCCATTGGTCGGAGTCTGCCATTGCCTCCTGGGTGTCGTGGATAGACTTGAGTGAGTCGAGGGCCTCGTCCAGTAGATATGTCGTGTCGTTTATCAACATATTTATGAACTTCACAAAGTCCGCGTCCTCACAAGATGACCTGTAATTGGAGGAGGGAACCCTAATATTAGTGGACAGTAGTCTTACTAAGTACATAGACAGAATTGTCTAATTTTTTAATTTACCGGCTCTCAGTGATGATACAGGCCCGATGGGCTGGTTGCTCCCACAGGTGGATGAGGATGGTGGATATGTGGTAACGAACGCTGAACTTGTCGAAAAACTCGTTCGAACCACCCATGTTTTCACAGCCTATCCAGAGAGAGAGAGAGAGAGAGAGAGAGAGGGGTTATGGAGAGTGCACTAAAGAAATCCTTTAGTGCGAAAATCTTTGCCAAAGAAAAAAAACTAACAAAATGTTTGTCAAATGCAAATCCTAACCGACACTTATGTACATCAAACCTCAAACAAATGCACTTCTGATGCACAATTTTGCATGGATGGTACAAAATTTTACTGTGTCCTTATAGATTAGGAACTGACTGGTGTAAGTCCTCATGAGTGCCAGCGGGAGATGATCGGTCGCCAGGTAATGCTCCGTAAACTGGTCCACCAGATGGTGGTTGCCATGGGAGTGTTGCCCCGGCAACATCACAAATATCACCTGCGAGAAAATATGTACAGCAAGAGCCAGTCACTTTTTTACTTCTCTTTTCCCGTCATTACTGCACACTCCAAACATTAGAACCAGGATACCCCTGAAATGAGGACACCTCTCTAAGGACACTCCTGAAATGAGGACACCTCTCTAAGGACACCCCTGAAATGAGGACACCTCTCTAAGGACACCCCTGAAATGAGGACACCTCTCTAATAAGGACACCTTTTCCTTCCCCAAGAACAGTTCTTGCCATAAAACCCATGAAATGAGGACGCCACTTTCTCCTCTCCCGTTGGTGTCCTGATTGGAGGAGTTCCACTGTATTTTCTTACCTCGATCAGCTTGGAGTGAAGGTAAGGGGAAGTGATGTATCGTGTAGTGGGAAGAAGAAGAAGAAGAAGTTGCACAATGTGACTCAGGTCTTGGTGCTTCAGAGTACGGGGACAGAACCTGAAGACAAGAAGACAATAAAGATCCTTTAAATCATCTGTAGCAGTAAGGAGCGAGCTTTGAACTGGCACACGTGGCATAGCAACTTGGCTACAGTGGAACCCTCTCTAAGGACACTCCTGAAATGAGGACACCTCTCTAAGGACACCCCTGAAATGAGGACACCTCTCTAAGGACACCCCTGAAATGAGGACCCCTCTCTAAGGACACTCCTGAAATGAGGACACCTCTCTAAGGACACCCCTGAAATGAGGACACCTCTCTAAGGACACTCCTGAAATGAGGACACCTCTCTAAGGACACTCCTGAAATGAGGACACCTCTCTAAGGACACTCCTGAAATGAGGACACCTCTCTAAGGACACTCCTGAAATGAGGACACCTCTCTAAGGACACTCCTGAAATGAGGACACCTCTCTAAGGACACCCCTGAAATGAGGACACCTCTCTAAGGACACCCCTGAAATGAGGACACCTCTCTAAGGACACTCCTGAAATGAGGACACCTCTCTAAGGACACCCCTGAAATGAGGACCCCTC